AGGGACAGAAGGACCCGGGGTGGCTGCAGGGCAGTGGTCAATGGGAAGGGTGGGTGGGGCTGCAGGGGGCAGATCATGTGGTGCCTTTAAGTCACGGAGTCAAGTGTTTGGGTTTTGTGCCAAGCCCTTTGTAAAGCCGGTGGAGGGCTTTAAGTATAAGAGCAATAGGATATAAGTTACATTTTTTTTTCTTTAAGATTTTATTTATTTGTCAGAGAGAGATAGCAAGAGAGGGAACACCAGCAGGAGGAGTGGCAGAGGGAGAAGCAGGCTCCGCATTGAGCAAAGAGCCCGATGTGGGACTTGATCCCAGGACACTGGGATCATGACCTGAGCCGAAGGCAGACGCTTAACTGACTTAGCCACCCAGACACCTATAAGTTATGTCTTGAAAAGCTCTCTCTGGCTACTCCCCCATGGATTATAGGATGGACTGGAGGAAAGCAGGAGTAGGGCTGAGGAGATGGGCTGAGAAAAGCCTGGCTTAAGCCCTAGTGAGAGGAAATGATGCCTGGAACCAGACCAACGTGAAAGCGTCACTCGGTTGTGACACTAATTTGGAAAGGGGTCCGTGAATGCTTCGGGTTTGGCTAAGAAGGGGCCTTATCACTAGTTCCCTGGAAAGAAATGAAGACAGTTACTGATTCTTGCCTCGGTAGTTAGGTATAGGCTTTTGTCCTTTGGGAACCTGAGAAGGTTTGTCTCTGTTGTGGATTTTTAGGGAAGTCTATCTGGCATTCACGCCTTTCCCACATACTTTACATGGGCTTTTACGTGGGCTTTTCTTCGTGCCTTGCCAACATTCCCCTTGGGAACTTAGGACCTTGATCTTTAAGTCCTGACATGTCCATTTGTGAGTGCGTGTGTGTTAGAGCAAATTCTCCTATAACAGGCACAGAATGACCGCATATCACCTTTCTTATCCACTGTGTTGACATAACCACTGCTTTACTCGAACATTTTCCACAGGGTCCTCTGTATGTCTGGCATTGCTTTGGTAGGATAAGGAAATGTCCAGGGTCAGTGTGGTTACTTTTTTCCCCAGAGAAGAGACCAACTTCCCACAGGATAGAGGAGAGAACCCAGGCAAAACCTTAATGGTCTTATAAAATTTAAGTTCCTACCATTCACTCATTTGGTTTTGACACCTCAGTTATGATATCAAAGAAAGACACAGAAGACACAGGAAGGGTGATTTGTGTATGCCTGAGATACGCAGTTCAGAGTATTATATATAGATTGATATCAGGGATTTGTCTGACAACTGTAGGTAAGTCTCTGCTCTCTGAGGGTCTAAGAAACCGATTATATGGTCCTTGTCTTCTGCCTGCCCTCTCCCAGATCTGGCTACAGTTGGCTAGGAGGGTCAATGCAGTCAGTGATGGTACTCCTGGACCTTCCAACTAGCACCTGCCTTGAGGCCAACAGTAATGCCTGGCCAGGTGTGGACAAACATGAGGTCCTGAATGACAGCTCAGCAGACCCACAGACTGGTTATTGCCAGTAGCTGACCAACCGGTCACCTGCAGCTAAGGATGCTCGTAATCCCGTAATCCCATAATCCCAGTCCTGCCTCCCTGCCTCCCTGCCTTCCTCTCTCGTTCCTCTCTCACTCCTTTGTTGTGTTTCATTTCCAGTTATAATGCACCCAGAGGCATGTTAATATACACATATGTTAAAGCTCTAGCTAATTACACATGGTCTTTTTCTTTCTATTTCCATGTTTCCCATATTTAAAAAAATCTTTAATAGAAAGCTTAAAACTCAGGAACCAAAAGCAATGATATGGTGACTGGTCCCTGACCCATGTTCCTCGTTGGAAAGGACTACTGGCATTTGAGTAACAAAACTCTAACAAAACTCTCTTGTACTGGATCATCTCAGTGTGAGGCTTTAGAATCTCCACCACTGGAGGACCGGTGGGAACCCCCCAAACCATTTATGACAATCCCAAACACCCCACACACTGCAAGTGTGGATTGGCCTCTTAGGTTGAAATCTTACTAAACTTGCATATGTAAATATTGGAGCACTTAACAGCACTTAAGATTCACCTTGCTTATAGGTTTAATTTATTAGATCTATTGGATAAGAGTGAATTAAATGCATGGGAAGATTTGTGTGTTATCCAACAACTGCGGCTCTTAAAAGGAAATTGTTGAAGTTACTAAATGTAGTTTAAAGTGTTTCATTAAACTTGTAAATGGGACCAAACATTAAAGAGGCCATTAAAAGTATTCTTTAAAAGAACAAAACGAAACAAAACTCCTTTAGTTAGGGATACATATTGATGTCTTGACAGGTGAAATGAAATTTGCTTGAAGATGCCCCAACAGGGAAAATATAAAAATATGAAGGAACTAGATGAAATTAAATGGACAGAATGTTAGTAATTGTTGAAGTTAGGTGCTAGATATGTGAGGGTTATATAATAGTCTCTCTATGTTTAAATATGTTTAAAATACCCAAGTAAAAAGTTCAAAAAAAGTGAATGTTAACATTTTCTCTAAAGAACTTTGAAGCTCACGGAATCCCTCATTCTGCTCATGTTCTTCCTGTCTGGTAGATACAGATGCACCCCTTACAGATGATATCTAATTGGCTTCTGGCTATTTTTCATGCTTTTGTGTGATTCTGTGGTCCCAGTTTTTGTTTTTTTCTGAGGGCAGGATTCATGACTCTGTGTCTTAATGAACACACCTGCTTCTAGGAAGCCACCATTTGTAATTGGTCACACACAGACAATACTTGGTAAGCCCAAGAATAACCATGGTGTTTACTTTACATTTGTCTCTGTGTCTGTCTATATCTACATTTTCGGTTATTTTCCCTTCATGTTAAATATATGTTTGTTGAGGACATGATGCACGTTACCTCAGGCATAATGATACATTGAAGGGTTTGGGTTCAGGAGTTTGACTGCCTGTGTGGCTTTGTGAGAATTACTAAACTTTCTAGTCCTCAATTTCCTCATTTGTAAAATGGACATGATTATGATACTGACCTCAGAGTTTGCAGTGAGGGTCAGTTAATGTATAGAAGAAAAAAAGAAGTGTTCTATTATAAATATTAGCTACTATTTTTAGTCAAAAAGTTATTTATAGAATTCTTTTTTTTTTTTTTAAGATTTTACTTATTTATTTGAGAGAGAGAGAGATTGAAAGAATGAGTGGGAGGAGGGTCAGAGGGAGAAACAGACTCCCCTTGGGGCAGGAAGCCCAATGTGGGACTCGATCTTAGGACCCTGAGATCATGACCTGAGCTGAAGGCAGATGCTTGACCGACTGAGCCACCCAGGTGCCCTGTAGCAATCTTCTTAAAAACAGTTTGCTCTCCCTCATTCTGAATTTAGAGCTGTCATTTGAAGGTATATTAACATAGTATTATCGTATTAGTGATATATTAATATGATAATATTATATTATCTGAAGATATATTAACATAATATCATATTAAGATACTCTGTTCTGCAATTTTTTTTAAAAAGATTTATTTATTTATTTTAGAGAGCGAGAGAGAGTGGGGGAGGAGCAGAGGGAGAGGGAGAGAGAAAATCTCAAGCAGACTCCCTGCTGGGTGTGGAGCCTGATGCAGGGCTCCATCTCATGATGCTGAGATCATGACATGAGCTTAAATCAGGAGTCGGATGTTCAACTGACTGAGCCACCCAGGTGCCCCTTTGTTCTGCAATTTTGAAATAGCTTTTTGTCCTGGTGTTTAGATTTTTAGTTTATACAAATATTTTACTCATCTTATACTCACTAATAAGCTAGAATTTCCTGGACTGTTTTAAAGCATGGAGGGAAGAGTAGGGTTGCAAATAAATGCCTCCACATTCGCAATCTGTAATTCATACTAGTTTGGCAGGTAATTGAAGCTCAGGCAGATCATCTCTCTTCTAATATCATTGATTTATTTTTGCAAATCTCAGATTCAAGTGCTAATGACAGTCTTTCAAAACTAATAATTCAGAGAGACAAGTTTTTATGTACTTAATGTACATCCTAGGAAGGTATAAAATGTTACAGTATGAATATAATTGTGTAGAAAGTATCTGTGCATAAAAATTTCTGATAGAATTATCTCCAAATTATTAAGAGTTCTGTCACTCAAATCACAGAACTAAGGGCAACTCCTCTTTCTACTTGACATCTTGTATTTTCCAGATTTTCCTTCATAACTATTTTCTACTTTAAGAGGAACATATTGGCATATTATTCTTTCAAAGTTGCCTCTCTGGAGGGCTTTGTTTTCAAAGTTAATAAAGAATTTGGAATTTTCTTTTAAAGCTTTTTGGTTGCATTCTGATAGATGGAAGTCCTTATTTCCTCACCACACATGTGTGGTTATGTTACTATCCAATGACATCACTACTGGAGTCTTGCTTCACAGAGAATTTACTGAGTTGGATGTGATTCAAATAAAATTAAGAATAATATATTAATGTGCTTAATATTATGTGTGTCTCAATCTCTTTATCTTTAAAATGAGGTGATGGGGCATGGCATTAACACAGAAGGGTTCTTTCAGCTGTAAAATGTACATTAAAAATTTTTTTCTAATACCTAGCATTTTTCCTAATGCATTTAAAAAGAAAAATAGGTATTGGGATGACCTAGGGAAAGTGGCCATCTTTGTTAGGTCAAGCAGAACATTGTAGATCGTGTTTTGCCCTACGTCAGAAGGAAGCTGGGAGCCCTCCGTTTCTGAAGGTTCGGACTAGTATTTCAAAATAAAATGCAGAGCTAATGCTGAAGAAAAGCCTCTCCTTGCAATAAAGACTTTTGTAAAGGAAATGATTTTTGAACTGCGATTCTAAACTGCGATGATTGTTTCTCCTTGCAAAACAAAAGTAGATCAAGGAGTGGCTGGGGGGGCCCTTCAGCTCAAAGCTGTTGTTTTTGGTGGGTGGATACCAGTGGACTCCATCAATTCCTGGGGCAATGCACTGTGGTTTTGAAGTGACACATTTTATAAAATGTCTATCTTGTTTTACTCAGGTTATACTGGAGAGCTTTGCCAATCCAAGATTGATTATTGTATCCTAGATCCATGTAGAAATGGAGCAACGTGTGTTTCTAACCTCAGTGGATTCACCTGCCTGTGTCCAGAAGGTAAATAATATTGCCTAGGAATCCCTTTTGTTTTCCACTTTAAATCATAAACTACTTCGATCAGCTTTAAATTTCAGAAAAAATCCGTACAAGAGAACCTCCTATTTTGTTTACAAAATGTTTGAATATTAGACATAATCTAGGAATTTCTGTGATTTTTATTTATACATTGAAAATGAATAAATAGGGCGCCTGGGTGGCTCAGTC